ATTTAACTGCTCTTTACTGTTCAATAACCAGGTTGATTTAAGTATGCACTCAAGGGTTTTATTCAAATATGCACGGTAATTAAAGTGCAGATACTTTGCCTTGGTTTAAATTTTAATCCCAAGGCACTTGGTACCAAGTTTCCAAGTATATAGCACTCATTTACTGAAGCCACTGAAGTTTTGTCAGCAATCTGGTGCCTATTCACTGCATTTGTGCTGAGCAAGGAAGTGACTGGAATAAAAATTGTGAATCCCTCAGGGAACATATCAAGTCAGAATTAAAGAGAAGTGTGCTCTTTTGCACCAGCCAAAATCTCTGGTAGAAAATTCAACTCCAGTGCCTGATGCAGTCACATAACTGAAATTTGATCAGGTATTTATACTGTCGGTGAGAATGTAGAAGCGCAATATGAAATGCACTTAAGGCCTGCTCCTGCCCCACTGAAATGAATGGGAGAAAGCTGAGACCTTTTTGATGATTTGTGTAACTTTGCAGCAGATTCCTGCTCTGTATGAGAAAGTTTACTCTTAAACTGCAATGTATCATGAAACACAGTGCATAACTATTTGGAAACCTCCAGGGCCAGGAACACACCATCAGCCACTATGAGTTTGGAGGAAGATGATGCTTCTTTCTGGTGCATTACATTTAGGATTGACCTTGGAGAATTTTTATCCGGAGGAGGGGTGGGGGAGGGCATTCCCCCATTTTACACCACTGTAGCAGCATAAAGGGGTGTTTTGGTGTGCTGGACTGCCTGGCAATGCTTTAATATAGTTTTTTGTAATACATCCATGCTTGCAAATAAAGGCTTTTATTATGTTAAGAAAGTTTATTACCATCCCTGCATCACATCATATACTGTGTAAGAAGATAAACACATGACAAGGGACAACTGGGAAGTTGTATCCAAACTCAATTTTTCAATACATTTATCTACGTCAATCCATTTTGTAAAATCACATGCCTCCCTCCCCATGTCAGAAGCAGTCCTGTCATCCATAAGTACAATACATAACTATCATTCCTCCAACATCCAGTACGTAAGCAGTCATCTCATCCATAATTAAAATTAATGACACATCAACCACACCCCATTTCATTGCATGATATGACAGTACCTTATTTACTGTCAACATTGTACAGACACATTTATAAACATACTATTATCCCTCTTCCATGGCCCATACAAGTCCATAATGTGATAGCACAGAACATCTCTGATTTCTGTTCCCCAGGTGCATCCTGCTCCAGCTGTGATAGGCACAACTGGCTGCGTGTACCAGTTCAGCTGTCATAGGTCCATTCAAGGGCAAATTACTCACTTTAGGCTTCAAAGAGATTGAAAAGAGCACTGGAAGCCACAGTAATGCAGGCAGCACTGTGGCCGCTGGCATCCAAATGGGTCTGTAGACTGGAATCTCACTGGCACTATCTGTCAAATGCACATTTAACCATCATTCTATACCTGCTAAGAGTATAATTAAACCTTCTTTTGCCAGTCCCGCTGAAATCAGGGAAGGTTTCATAAGCCAAGGCAAAAAGGTAGTACGTGGGATCCCCCATAATGACGGTGAGGACAGTAACTCCATTTATAACAATGTCATTCAGTGGGAATAGTGTCCCAGCCAACCCATGAATGTAGACTCCTGATCAATGGAAAACCCTGGCATCATACACTTTTCCAGTGCAGCCCACGTTGGCATCCATAAATCAGCCTTTGTGGTCCACAAGGGCCTGCATAACAATGCAATAGTAAGCTTTGCGGTTTATATACTCATCTACTCCTTGAGGAGGGTGAATTATGGGCACATGACTCCCATCAGTGGCCATGGTAGTCTGGAAACCCCATTCTCTCAAAGCCAGGAACATTGCTAATACACACCACCTTTAGGTAAATCACACCACTTGCCCACAGCTGACTTTTCCAACACCAACCTGGTGAGCAACAGAGCTGTAGCAGTCTCGAGGAGCCAGCTTTCAAACGGTTGTGGCAACCTGCTTCTGGACTGGCATGTGCATACTTATGCATGTGTCATGATACTGGAGTGTCAGGGCCAACGGCTCACAAGGCTCCAGAAATGCAGCTTTCTTCTTGCAAAAGTTCTGGACCCACTGCTGGTCATTCCAGGTCTGCCTGATGATGTGATCCCAAGAGTCTGTGCTTCTGGTCCTGCTCCAGAAGCGCTGGTATTGGTAGAGGGCATTAGTGGCTATACCGAGAGTTGTGAGCAGCATCAGCCAGTCTGAGTCTTCCATGTCTGTATTCTCCTCCTCAGTAGGTCAGAAAAAGCTGCTGAAATGTCCACCCATAAGAACATAAGAACGGCCATACTGGGTCAGACCAAAGGTCCATCAAGCCCAGTATCCTGTTCTCTGACAGTAGCCAATGGCAGGTGCCCCAAAGGGAATGAACAGACAGGTTATCAATCAAGTGATCCATGCCCTGTCACCCTGTGATGGGTTGGATCACAGAAACCCCCCTGGGAGCTGCCACCTGATGTGCCAAGACTATTTCTGCCCCTGCTTTTCCTGCCAGCTTAGGACTCCAGCACCCTGTTTTGCTGAGCCAGACACGCCCGTCTGCTCCAACACGACCCAGGGTCTGAATTACTTGCCTCAAAGCTGCAGACTTAACTGAAAGCAGCTTACAGAAGTGTTCTTATTTTTAACACTTAGATGCCCAACTTCCAATGGGGTCTAAACCCAAATAAATCCGTTTTACCCTGTATAAAGCTTATACAGGGTAAACTCCTAAATTGTTCGCCCTCTATAACACTGATAGAGAGATATGCACACCTGGGTTAATTAATAAGTAAAAAGTGATTTTATTAAATACAGAAAGTAGGATTTAAGTGGTTTCAAGTAGTGACAGACAGAACAAAGTGAATTACCAAGCAAAATAAAATAAAATATGAAAATCTATGACTAATCAAACTGAATATAGATAATTTTACCCTTAGAGATGCTTCAGTAAGTTTTTTCCTCAGACTGTACACCTTCCAGGTCCGGGCACAATTCTTTCCCCTGGTACAGCTCTTGTTTTAGCTCAGGTGGTAGCTAGGGGATTCTTCATGATGGCTCTCCACTCTTTTATATATCTTTTGCATAAGGCGGAAATCCTTTATCCTTCTGGGTTTCCACACACCCCTTCTCAATGGAAAAGCACCAGGTTAAAGATGGATTTAAGTTTAGGTGACATGATCACATGTCTCTGTAAGACTCCAAGCCTTCATTTCTCCCAGCCTAACTTACAGGAAGGCCTGCCCGCAAACAGAGCCATTCACAATCAATTGTTCTGATTGATGAAAGCCATCAAGATTTCAAATCACCATTAATTGCCCACACTTTGCATAATTACAATAGGCCCTCAGACTTGTAATTTACATTTCTAGTTTTAAATACAAGAGTAATACATTTATAAAAATAGGATAAACACACTTAGTAGATTATAAGCTTTGTGATGATACCTTACAAAAGACTTTTTGCATAAAGCATATTCCAGTTACATTATATTTACTTATTAGCATATTTTTATAAAATTATATAGACTGCAACGTCACACACCCAATCCCAGTTTCTGGCAAAAGAGGCTAGGGACACCATTCCTGCCTATCCTGGCTAATAGCCATTGATGGATCTATCTTTCATGAATCTATCTAGCTTCCTTTTGAACCCCACAACACTCTCTAGCAAGGAGTTCTAGAGGTTGACAGTGCGTTGTGTGAAAAAATACTTTCTTGTGTTTGTTTTAAACCTCCTACCTATTAATTTCATTTGTTGGCCCCTTGTTCTTGTATTATGAGAAGGAGTAAATACACTTCCTTATTTACTTTCTCTATACCACTCATGATTTTATAGACCTCTATCATATCCCCCCTTAGTCATCTCTTTTCCAAGCTGAAAAGTCCGAGTCTTATTAATCTCTCCTCATACAGAAGCCGTTCTATACCCCTAATCATTTTGTTGCCCTTTTCTGAACCTTTTCCAATTCCAATATATCTTTTTTTGAGATGGGGTGACCACATCTGCACACAGTATTCAAGGTGTGGGCGTACCATGGATTTATATAGAGGCAATATGATATTTTCTTATCTATCCCTTTCTTGATGATTCCCAACATTCTGTTTGCTTTTTTGATTGCTGCTACACACTGAGTGCATGATTTCAGAGAACTATCCACAATGACTCCAAGATCTCTTTCTTGAGTGGTAACAGCTAATTTAGACCCCATTGTATATGTATAGTTAGGATTATGTTTTCCATGTGCATTACTTTGCATTTATCAACATTAAATTTCATCTGCCATTTTGTTGCCCAGTCACCCAGTTCTGTGAGATCCTTTTGTAGCTGTATCAGGGGGTAGCTGTGTTAGTCTGTATCTACAAAAACAACAAGGAGTCTGGTGGCACCTTAAAGACTAACAGATTTATTTGGGCATAA